AAAATTGTTAATACGGTGAAGATTGTTGCAAGTAAGAACACTAATCTTTCATCATTACATTTGTTTTGAAAAATGATTGAGCTGCTTCGTGTTCATTATATTCTACTGACTAATTTTCGTTTATTTTTTGTTATAAACATTGTTCAACTTGTAGGTTTGCGCCGAGATACCTTAGATGGTAGTGAAGATCGTGTAAGGGATCTACCTCCAAGAGGTGGTCATCAAGGTGGTGCCGGTAACTCGGGATACATGGGTAGACAAGGCCGTCCTCCACCTCAACGTAGAGATCGTAGAGACGAACGTCGTCGAACCACAGATGATGAAGACACGGTTCTTGATAGCCAAGATGTTTCAAGCATTGATAGAGGTAAAAGCATTGTTTGAATAACATTTCACATCACAACAACCGTCTCGTCCTAAAGAGAATAGAATCTTACATTAAAAATGCTTTGAGAGTGGCATGGATTGTGCAGCAAACATTTGTGACCATCTAACACTAACAGTATCAGTGGTACTTACTAATGCACGCTACTAACATACGCAGTAGCTTTGTATAATATATAACTAGTAAGATGTATGTAAATTTTGAATACTAGCTTTTTCATAATGGGATATAAAAAGATGGTCACAATGGTTTGTCTATGCATAGAGTCTGTATCAAGTGTGGAGGGAGGACCTAAAAGCATGAGGCGAAGACGACTCCGACATTCTCGGCAACGTAGTGCTACACCGACAAATAATCGAAAAGGTAACTATAGGCATAGAATTATCGTAGTGTTCCTTTAGGACGATCGGTTTTAGTGGGATTTATTATGTGTAATATTAAAAACGCACTTTTAAATCAGTGTTGAATATTTATGCAGAAATATTCAAAGTTAATTCGTACATTTGTTTAGGCAGCAATGCCGGCCCAGGCGAACAATCAACAGTAACTAGTAAAGAAGGAACACCAGCAAACGAAATTTCTGCTACAAGCAACAGTTCCCAAGGACCTAAGGGCCAAAGAGAACAACGGGCACGTCATCCTCGTATGCAACAGAGCAACAAGCCTAAAGAAGCTCTGGTTAATGGTACCAGTGGCTAAATAACCATTGTGGTCGACAAATGCTACTTATGTATAACGTTACACCTGATGAGAGCTATTAACACCCAGCACATAACATGACGCATACCTACGCAAGGACTACACGATTATGGAACGCGACATGATTAGTCTACGCTCGTTGTTAAGACTGTTTGCTACCGATAAGAAATACGACAATTGTTTAAGAAATCGTCATTCTCCTTAAACACATTTAAGGACACATATTAATATCCATGCATGGTTTAGTTTAATGATAGTAGTTATACTATCATGTTTGATATATGGATACATTCATTGGGAGGTAGTAGAAGCATTTGGTAAAAAGGAATCCCCTGATTGTGAAACTGTGCCTCATTTTTATACCGAGTTCCCAACTTGTGTGACAGCAATATGGACGTACTATAAAGTACCTCTTAATCACTTGTGAAATGATCCAATAATAGGCTGGATATACGTGGCTCGTACGTCAATTAACAATTTGAGCAATTTTCGTCTAGATGTGTCGCTCTATTTACTACAAAAAAATCACACAATACTTATCTGGAACACATAATGTAATCAGTTCTATTGTTGTTTCTATATTTCATTTATGAGTTCTTTGTTGCAAGAAGTTTTCAATATATATTCAAAGGTATCTTATTGCGTATAAACGTACGACGTTTGTGTTATTAGTACTTGTTTTTGGAAAAGCGTCAATTAAGCCCACTGGGTTAGGAGCTGGTTTGCGACATAACTATGACGAAACATAACATGATGCAGGAAAAATGAATTTCCGTTGTTAGACCTAACAATGGTAGGCGGCAGCTGCATGAAATCTGGGTTAAAAGGTATTCCCAATGATGTTCCTTCTATTTACTTCACAAGATTGAGTTTTTTTTTTGATTTACGATTATTAGTAGAATTATTTAACGACACTAGATTTTTATGTTTCGATGCTGAGTGTTGATTAATAATATCATGATGAATGCTAAAAATGACTTATTTGATTGTAAAAAAACACAAATGGGTGTGCACAAGAAGTCGGTTTTTATTTCCGGGTTCACTTTCACGTAATTTAGTCTTTTTTTTTATTACAGTCTAAGCATACTATATCAAACATTAGGATTTGATATAAAGTTCATTTCCGCATTGTTTCGCATGATTTAAAAGGAAAGTAAATGTATACTTAGTAATACCAATGTATGATGTGCCAGAGAAGGAATGATACATGTTTTATGATATCTAGCTGAAGTGCAGACTTAGCGCATACCTTTATTACTATAATACTACTTAGTCGAAATGTGGATGTCTGAAAAAATAAACTAGCTTTACTATACTAAGCTATAAAATAGATACGGTGAACTGTTTTAAATTGACTATTAGTGAAAATTAAAAATCAAGCGTCAACTTAAAACAGTTGCCTCTTCTTCCGGATATGACAACAACTAATCGGACGTGTCTCATGGATTTTGCAAAAACGCATGGCGGTTGATGCAACACTTGACACCAACAAAACAGCTGCCATTTTATCTGAATATTCTTATGGCGGCCAGAAAAACTGAGATATCCCCCAACTTGCTTGTTTCAGATACATTTGTATTGATTGCAGTTTGTGCATAATTTAAGAATAAAACATTTCTGTACATAGAGCGGTCATTAGTACGGTGAACCACAATTTTTCCAAAACATTAATAATCATTTTCTAATCTTGTCAATTGTTTTAAAATATAACCTTCACCCTATCCTCAAAACCACAAATAATTTTACAATAGAAAATAATATTGAAAAATACTATATAGTTAAGTAAAGTAGCAGCGATAGTAAAGATTACTTTCGTAATTAAATGCGTTATTTGCAAGAATAATTAATATTATTTTTATTTAATTATGTCTTACGTATTCAGACCTTCTACATATAAGTTAATAACTTTTTGTTGAATGAATATTTTAATCACGTAACATATAAATGCTTATATATATAATTATATAATAATTTTCAAAATGATAATGAAAGTTTCAGATGCAACAATGAGGTAACATAGTTTATATATTTTCAAATTTATTTTAGAGTTTAGTTCTTAATTACATGGAATTATTCGTGGTATGCCATTCTCTAATGTCTCTAATGTCTGAAATTCTCGCGATATTACGAATTGAAAATAAGATTGTCGTCTCTAATTTAAAAATCATTTGTGGCATTTGTCAACACTAGATCTACTATTATTTAAATAGGATTAGGTAAGCAGTGATCATTAGTTGCTGACGAATCACATTAGCTGCGCCGCCTTCAGTCATATGTTTTGTCATTATAGCTGGATTGATCGCTACCTCAAGCATGTATGTCTGTATATGGCGTGATAGAGAGAAGTATTAAAATAAAATAAGATGGAACGATTGAGAGCGATGACTCGAATGCATTGGCGTAGACCATATAAGCTCAGAATATTTAGTGTAGTCATGTGAGTGAGTACAATTCATTCCATAGTTCCAAGCAGCTAAAACTGAAAGAAAAAAGAAATCCCTATCTAAAAGTCATACGAATTGGTTTTAAATTACACAAAACAAGGGGTGACCATAGAGTATCATACCGTAAGAAAAGACTCTCATTTCGTTAGATGATTTTCAAATGCTAAAATAAAAAAAACAATCGCATACATATTCTGAATTAGGTAAATATTGTAAAACTTCGATCTACCAAAGGCGTATGCATGTAAAAATAAATATTCGATTGTCATTTATTGGCCCTCTAGCGGCGGATTCAAAAAATCTTGTTCTTGTTTATGCATTTTGTTTGCTGTTTCTCATCTTAGCTATATGTATTTATGATAAGCCTCTAGTCGGGAGCCGTCAGCTGTTGTGTCAAGTTAACATCCTTAACCAACAAAATAAGGGAAACTTATCAATAGTGCGTGATTTTTCAATAGTATTCGTATTCCTTTACCGAAAGTGTGATAGTTCTGAAAGTACTTGTGTATAGAAAGAAGGTTCGTGTGCATATCGGCTGGATCAATTTTAGTTGATGTTTCCCTTTACATACCTGCATTAGCGCTAGTCATTTTTACATAAGGTTTCTTAGTAAAAATGAAAATTTATAGTCATGCATTTTACACGATTGAATTTTTTAAGAGGAGGGGCTATTCCTTGATATATCTAATATTTAACATCATCGAAAAAAATTCGATCGTAATGAACATATACACATTACTCCTATGTTTTGTGCTACGTACGTAAACGTTCAAGTCCATTACAAATGGCGATTATTTTGTATCTCGCATCACATTTTCGCTTTTAATTGTCATAATTTTACTCCTACTAGAACTAGTATTTACAATCCTTTTTTTCTCAAGCGTACGTCATAATGATAATTTATAGTCTATCGTTTGCGTATACATATATATGTATATACATATATACATATATGGAATAATCGGGTATAAGGTATTCCAGTAAAAAATTTGCACATTGAAATGAAATTAAAATTACATAGATATTTGCAATTACAAGCGATGCATTGATTCATCATGATTCACGGACTGATCGTGAAATTTTATTTCGAACAGGATATACTTCACGCGTTTGGATTTAGTTCCTCGAAAGAATAAATACATAAGTGCAATCCAATAATAGTGCGTTAGTTGATCCATCACAATACCTTCGAAATAAGTGTAAATTAACTGGTGTTAAACTGATGTGTTAAAATATTTCGTGATACACGCTGAAGATTTCGAAATACCCATTACCTATGCGTCTCATGTTCGCGGAGAAATCGTAATTGATGACAAGTGTCTTGTCAGACTATATAATTCCCTTTTTAGTGAAAGTAGTAAAGTCAATATGCATAAGAAGTTAGGCATAAAATGGATTCGCGGGACAATTATTGATATTATGTAAATGAGAGAGTATTGAACGCGCGATCAAGAGAGAGAAACTTAAAGCTTTATTAATCTTTTATTTCGTATATCGAGTACGATCGATGTAACGTTACACGTGCATGTGTGACGCAAAGTACATATAATCACTCGTAAACCGTATGTTTCATACGTTTGTAATATTGATGGAGATTTTTTTCTTTAGTATTAAACGCTGCAAGTAACTTATGCATTCTATGACCTACAAGTGACACGGGATATTAGATCGCGGGATTCCGATGTGCATGCTGCAAGTGATATGCATCGAGTTGTTTTGAAGGTTCGGTTCTGTTCAATTTTTGTTTTTCTCTCATTTGATACAGATTCGATTACTTGGCACTGTGAAACGAAGAATGAGACTGTAAAGACCCGTAATACTTCGCAGAATGTTCAAAGAAAATGATAGTAATTCAGGAGGCTGTAGCAATGCAGCTCCCCGACCACGACGAATACCACCATTTTCTCTGCGCCGATTATTACACTCGAGCCCTCTTATTGGCCGGCGAATTGTCAGGACACCCATTTTAAGCTACAGGAATACTAAAAGTAATAAACAATACTTAAACAATTTAAAAAACAATGATGGAAATCAATTTGTTTATGGATTTTAATTATTGTTTCAGATAAAGATCCAACTGGCAGTAGAGTTACGGATGTAGAGAAAGGAGAAGCCAGAGTAAGTAATGGTTCGAACCATTTTCAATTTCAGAACATAGATCTACAGCGTGCTTCCAGCAAAGGCTCTGTACTTTCTTCCGCCGGAAAGGTATTTATATAATATATCTATGTTATACAAACCTTATAAGATGTATACTGTTACCATTCATTTTATAGTACAGTGCTTAAACAATAATTAAATACAATGATTACAAAATATTTATTTCAGAGCAATGAGAATGGCATAATGGAATGTCCTTTATGTTTGGCTGAATTGCCAGTGGAATTTTTCCCTGTGGTACAGTCTTGCCATCATCGCAGTTGTTATGACTGTTTTCAACAATATCTCAAGGTTGAAATTTCAGAATCTAGAGTGAATATTGCTTGTCCTGAGTGTTCTGAACCATTACATCCAAATGGTAAATGCTTTTTTGGATTAGAACAGAAATATATAAATTGTATAATTCTTGGATTTATATTAATTCATTAAATTGTATTTTTATGCAGACATTAGAATGATTTTAAATGATCAAACACAACTGGAAAAATATGAAGATTTTATGGTACGAAGAGTTCTTGCTGTTGAACCTGATGCAAGATGGTGCCCAGCACCAGATTGTAGTTTTGCTGTTATTGCGAGTGGTTGTGCTTCATGCCCAAAATTACGATGTGAACGACCAGGATGCGATTCATACTTTTGTTACCACTGTAAAGCACGATGGCATCCGAATCAAACATGCGATGCCGCTAGAGCTCAACGAACTCAATATTATGAACGTAGCTCCTCTCTCAGTTTCAGTCAGAGTGATTCACAGCATAGTATGTATTTCTTTACTTACTTCGAACGCTTAATCGCGTACAATATTGATGATATATAATCATTTATATTATTTATTTTTACAGGGGATGATATCAAACCTTGTCCAAGATGTCAGGTTCTGATTGTCAAGATGGATGATGGTAGTTGTAATCACATGATTTGTGCTGTTTGCGGGGCAGAATTCTGTTGGTTATGTATGAAAGAGATCAGCGACCTTCATTACTTAAGGTATTAGTTGATTTTTATTATACAGTATTCATTTCAAATAGTACTATGTTCTTTACATGAATTTATTACATGAATCTCTTAATTACTTCTAGTCCCTCTGGTTGTACATTCTGGGGCAAAAAGCCATGGTCTAGGAAAAAGAAGATACTTTGGCAACTTGGAACTTTGGTTGGCGCTCCTGTTGGAATTGGTCTCGCAGCTGGTATAGCCGTACCTGCTATGATTATAGGTCAGTCATATACGCAGACAATATATGTAATTTCTTGTTCATGTACTTAAATATTAGCAGACCATTATCTCTTAATATATTGAAGATGCAAACACAATTATTATACAGCAATTGTGTAACACAAGAATAGCGTTTTGCCTGAGATGAAGTTTTTTTGTATTATTTCAAAGATATGGACTAGTTGTGTTTTCAAATAAAATTATACATTCCTGTTCGCTTCGTTTTGCAGGTATACCAGTATGGGTGGGAAGAGAATTGTATACAAGATACGAAAGAAGCAACAAGCATAAAAGGAATGCCTTTATCGTTGGTGGAGTAACTGCATCGGTAAGTCAATTACTATTATTTACGTTTGTTCTCTATATTATTAATCTTGGCAATTAAATACGTACGGTAGCTGTTTAAAAATAACCAGCTATGACTTTCAAATGAAAATTCTAACCACAGAGTACGGATGAAACAGTTACAATAAAAGAAACATTTTCTGTAGACGTGACTTAGGGATCATCATTAGACGCTAGTATACAGATATACTTTTACAAGTTCATGACAACATCAAGGTATATTTTATTTATGTAGTTTGTACAAAGAAAGAGAATAATATAATGATTGCGTATGTAAATTTGCGATAACAGAATGCCGGTTTTATAGCCGTTGTAATAATTGCGGGAAAGAATTTAGTTAGAGAAACGATTTCAAACGAAGTCAGTCTAATAGATAATTGACTTAAAAGTTTCACTTAAAGCACCTCAGAGCACAAGGTTGTGAGTAATTACTTAACTCTCGAGACGTTTTTATTCGTATAATTTCAGATAGCATTTATTGGCGTCATGCTTACTTAATAGTCGTACCAAAACATAAACAAGTGTCGCAAGAGGAACAACCAAATGTCTTACGTATACATATCGAAGACGTAATTCTCTAAACTTGTTCGTTAATACTTTCATTATTACGAAATATTTTCGAACCCAAAGTTCTATCGTGAACGCTATACTTTCCATGCTAGCGGCATTTGAACGTCGACTTCTTTAACTACCCGCAATTACACTGTTATCGACACAAGCCTTTTTGCTCCGGATCACATTAATCAAACTCTGAATGTCCGTGATTCATCGAACCCTCCGGATTCCACAGCCGTCGCCAGTTTGATTTGCGTCTCGCGTAAGATTAATTAATTCACAGCAGCACTATCGTGAGCGGCATTTGCGGCTGACTAAAAATCACTCTCGCTCGTTGCGACGACGGTCTCATCTGTGAACACGCCCTCGCTGTGAAGATCCTTTAGAACGTCGATCAGTCGTTCCTCGGTGTCCGGATCACCCAAGGCAACGTCCACCGATCCGATGCAAAGTAGAAGCGCTAGCAGCTGCGACCGTCTGTAGTCTTTGCTCAGGTCTTCCCTCGTGTAGCCCAAATCTTTCGGGATGTCGACCCCGAGGCGAGAACATGTGCTGGTTAGAGCGTTCCAATAGATATCGAGGAAAACCTCTGTGAACTTTCGACGTAGGTCGGTAGGCAATGAGCTCACTATCAACAAAGCGATGTCGTTGCTTGGTCTGCTGTATGTGACCATTTGCCAGTCGAGAATGCAGCATTCGAGACCGTTCGGACCTTCCTTGAACAGGAGATTGTTGCACCAGAAGTCTGTGTGCGTGATCAGGGTCAGTGGCCCCTCGGGGGCAAGGAGCGCAGATATTATGTGCATAGTCTTCGGTCTTAGTATGCGCAGAGCCTCGAGTATCGCTCCCAGCCCCCTGTTCTCCAAAAATTTCGCAAGCTGCGGCAGGCCGCGCTCGACCAGCTGCTGATACGAATCGGTCGCTTTCGCTGTTTGGAAGAGGAATGGGTAACGCTCGGACAGGGACTGTCCTTCGACGACCTTCATTGCTAGGGAATGCGCGTGTATGCGCGCTATAGCCTCCAGCGCGACCTGAGTCTGGTCGAAGGTCATTCCTTTCCTGAATTTGATGTTACAAAAGTCAGAGTCGCGAAGGTCTTGCAGCACCAAGATCGAGTCCGGTGTCGTCAGGGTGTCCTCGGTCTCCTGTGCTGGCATGTATTGCGCGTGGTAGCACACAGGTACCGACAGAGGAATCTCCTCGCCCGGTTTGTCGAGGTTCTCGCGGGTATTCTCTAACGCCAGCTGTTTCTTTTGGAACTCTCTCAAGTCTGGCATGACCTGATTGCAAACAGAGTCATACGTGTTATTTGGTTCGTATTCGAGTTAATTGGGTAGTTGGAGATTCATCGCTTACCTGCGTGTAAAACTTAATTTCCCGTAGGTCGAACTGGCCCTCGTTCACGAAAAAACGACTGAACGGATCTTTCGGTAGCTCTTTCACGATTAAAGATAGGTCCTGCGTGGTGTTCGACTCGGTCAACACGTACTTGACTTTAACGCTAATTATGGTGCTCAGCACGCTTTCGTTGCTCATACAGCCGGGGTTCACGTTACACTCGGTTATCGTGACCTGTACATGACGGGTTAATTTTTAAACGACTCATGAGAGAATACACGCGACGCGTAACGTGTTCAACGGCACCGGGGGGGACGGGTTCGCGACGCTAATCAAACAATTTAGCCCCGCAAAAACATTCCTACAGGCAACCATGAACTGGAAATCATAGTCTCTACTGAACTAACCGGTTCTTTGTGAAACTCCCTTAGGATACCGTCAAGCCACTGCTTATCAATCTCCGGCTTCAGCTCCTCCGTTCCGCTGGAAGAGTCGTCCGCGTCTTCCCAATCCCAATCCATGTTCTTCCAATCCCAATTGGCCATCCACGTAAAAAGACTCCTCTCCGGAAGGTCTCCTCTCTCCTCTTTTGTTTACTCCGACGAGGGAAAACGGACCACTGATTCCCGGCGAGGCTTGTATCGTTTAACCAGAAAGAGGGAAAAAGACGATAGTATTGCGTTGCGGTGGGTCTGATGCGTATCTACGTGAGTCTACTCCCCAATCGATGCTAATCAAGCACATCTACGCTCGGGAATGATAATAGGCGGAGCGCGGTCATTCGACTGTTTCACATCGGAACACAACGGGGTTTATTGTTTGAGGCTTCGTGAAATCGCCAGCAATGAATGGATTCGTCGTCGGTTACGTCTACTTCCTGTTACGTTGGCCGGTCCACGGACGTTCAGCCCGGCGCAGTTCGACGTCCTCTCATCGGGGATTTGCAACTGGCTTACTTCCGCGACACACCCTTGGCGCAGGGAGCACCGACTGCCCGATCCGACGTTTCTCGGTTTGCCGGACCCTTTGATCGTAGCGCAATGTGGATCTTAAAGTACCAACTGGCACGGTGCACGTTCTATCGTCACCCACCTAGCTGGATGCAGGCCGCAGGGTGGGACAGAGAGGATTTCCCATGCGCGCACTCCTACTGCCGATCAATATCCTTCCTTCCGCACCTCCCACACCTTCTGCTCACCACGCACTTTCTCTCTGTCGTCTATTCCGATGACCCGCGTTCCTTTCCGCACTCGATGTGATTCCAGAAAACAGTTCACCCCGTCTGCCACTAATCAGCTGTCCCATCGCGACATGTCCCGTCATTTCTATGGATGGACATCGTGGTTCGAATCGTGTACCCTATTTTCACATGTAGGGCGTGGCTAGGACGTCCGGGATCAAAGGGCTAGACCGTCTTGGGTGTGCAAAATTTATGACATCCCTTCGCGATTTCTTCCTTATCACAGAATCAAATCGAGGGGTGATATTTCGGATGTAATATATACGCCCTCAGAAATAACTCGTTATGTTGCTTATTATTTTTTCAAATGGCTGAGGTAATACCATCGTAACGGACCATCAATTTGAACGACCCTTTCTGCGGTAGCACAGTTTATGGTCCCATAGTTTAAAAATTACGTGCTTGGTCTTTTAAAGCATCCGGTCGTATTTTTAGCGGACTGTTTGAGCGGCCTTGCCTTCATAAATATTTGCGCTTGTACTAATGAGCGTTCTGCATATGTAAAACAATACCACAAACATGATATCCGAATACATTACAGTATCGATAACTTTATTTACTAATACCCCACCTTGAAAGAGCAAGAAATACGAGTATATTTCCAATTGAAATCGAGCTGCCTTGTTTGTATATATACCCCGATGTTTTTGTACAGCTTCGCCTATGCAAATGTAAAGTTCAGAGCGTGTTTGACACGTACCCTGAATTATTGCACTTGTTTTCCTCGGAGAGAAGCTCTCCGGAAAGAAAACACGTAATTCTGAATTGTGCGGTGCACATTCGCCAATTTCCGGTAGCGTGGAACTACACAACAATGACTCGAACTGCGGATGAAAGTTCGTAATGTAATACCAAACTTTCTGATTTTCTGGTTTCATAAGTCTATACAGATTGGAAGTTGTTCCGAATTTATCTCAACCTTTCAGTATTTTAGTTCAGTATTTTAACAATTATGAAAGATATGCTTATGTAATTTTTCTAAATGAAGTGATAATTGGATTGCTAATTTAGAAGTGCATGACGTTTGAAAAAAATATAGGTAGAACATTTAATTAGTAAGAAATTGATATTTTCATCATCCATATTTCGTAAATTCTGTTAAAAAACACTTCAGAATTTAAAGATTATGAATGGCATTTGTTTGCAATACAATTATTATTTGATTATTGCAAATTCAAATTGTTGTATTATTTACGATCTTTTCTCGATTGTTACAGGTTTTAGTATCGCCAATACTAGCAGGATTAGCAGTAGGTATTGGCGTACCTATTTTATTGTTTTACGTTTACGGCGTCGTTCCCGTTTCACTTTGTCGAAGCGGAGGTTGCGGTGTTTTCACAAACGGAACGGGAGTTCGATTTGATTTGGAGGACGAGAATGAACTTATTGGTTCTCTAAGTGCCCGTTTCGGTGGAGGTGAATATTGAAATTTCTATTTAATCGTTTGGCAATGAATCCAATGAATATCATTACGTTTAATCTTGAAGTTAAAAATAGCGTTACACAGTAATGAAGATTGTATTTATAGAGTGATTTGCTATTGAAGGGGCTTGAGTGGCCAATAAGTGAGACTGACCTAGCTATAATCGTCTGTAAACACCAAGGGGCATACATTCCCTCTATCTAAATGAAAGATAGGAGACCATCGAGCCGATTTTATCTTTGACCCTGTCGTAAATTACGACAACGATTTTTTCAAGTTATAATAAACACAATACCTGTGTTGCAGATGCGGCGTCAATAGATGTTGCGAGTCATCGTGGTGGTAATCCTTCAATAGGTGAAGCTTCGCTTTCGTTGGGCAGTGGAAGTCAATTGGAGAAGTTAGGTCGAGAAAATGACCCTGAGAGCGCCAGCAATGTAGCTCTCGCTGGTACCAGTCTTGCCGGAAGTATAGCCTCTAGTGTTCTTCCAGGCGGCCAAAGGTATTTTTGAATTGTTCATGTTAACAATGTTTACAATTACTGAACGAATATCATCCAAAATTTATACTCGTATTCCATTGCCAAACAGGTTGGAGGTACAAGCAGACGTGACGTCCACACAACGCTTCAGCTTATGCAGCGAAACTGCATCCGCCACAACCAGTTTGTCAGAGAAGTCTGTAAACGCATCTATCGCTTTGGACGATGGAGCAGCGTCTACGAGAGCTTTAGCAGGCTCTGTTCTAAATTTTAAGGTATTTCGTATTGTCATAAATAATGTACAAACATAATGTTTAATGTACTCATTACGTGTATAGATGGATGGCAGCTCGTTAAGTGGTGGAAGGAGCATGGAAGGTGAACAGGGGGCTGGTTCAGTTGCGGGTGGGCACATGGATTCAGCTGGACAAGCCACATCTCTAAGTTCTCTCGAAGAGGTGGCACCTGGTTTAGCGAAACGTGCTCGGCGTAAACCAACGTTGGATCGGCAATGTAGCGATTCGAGTAATTGGACTGTCTGTGGAGAAGACGGCGGCTCCGAGCGTGTTAGATTCGACGATCACGTCAGTATCATTGAAGCTGATCAGGAAGGAATTGTCAGTACATGTGGAGTGGGTAATAGGAACGCTGGAAGGCGCAAGCGAAACAAGGAGACGGAACAGGAAACTGATGCTCAAAAATCTGCGAAGTACGAATAAATACAATATTCATTAAAACTTGATAAACGAAAATTTTTAAATACTGTACAATTGGCGATGCATATATCTATCTGTATCCTTGCATACAATGATCTTATTATTATATCTGGCTGAAATAATTAAACGTTCTTTTTAATCACAGTCCAAGGGTGAAGGAGTAAATCTTATTATATGTTAATTTGTATATTTATATGGATTAATTTTTTAGAAACACCAACGGTGAGACGAAGGTCGATTCATCGACGGATGATAACGTATCACGGGAGCGAGTCAACGTTGCTACTTTGAGGAACGTCTTCTTCCATAGTTCTACGGTATCTGCGGATCGCGAAAAGCGATTATCAGTGATAAAAGAACCGTGCCCTGTGGGAGCACAGAACAAACGCGCTCGTATTTTTACATCTTCCGACGAAGGATGCGACAGCAGTAACTCGGAGGACAATTCCTCTTAAAAAGGAATCAAAGACTGAGTAATTCTGTAATAACGTACACGCCTCTTTTAAATACGAGATATGTAGATGCGTATTTACATATGTGTGTATATATGTATTTAAGTGCACACCACGTGCGTACATTAACGCTGAGTTTACTATATTTATGCACACCATGTATAAACATACTCTGAGTGCAATAAAGGGAACAAGCTGAAACTCGCTTTGGAAAGCGAAGTACATCGAAGTGAACAAATATACACTCTCATGCTTCGAAAGTATGTGTGTGCAAAAATATTCTATATCGGCATACACAGGCTTTTGTTAAAACAAAAAAGAATTCGATACCTTTTGCATACAATCGCGAATAATTTTTTAGTTTTGTGCCAACATTTCTTTTTAGTGATGATGGATATTGTAATTTGCATGAAATTATGTTCTTAGATATAACACACAGTGTTTATAAATTTAGAGAATCGGGTTCATTAAAATTATAATCAAATGTAACTTTGTAAAAAAATTGACACGATTATCGGACGCTATATCATAAGTGAATTGCTAGAAATTAAAAAAAAATCATGTAGGCGGTCACAAAGGCTTTATAACATTGCATTTAACTCAAAATAACAATTATTATTTTCTATGCATAGTAT